AGGCCATCTTCTGGAACGTTGGAAATGCTGTGAGCACAAGCAGCCCCTCCCCTCCCCTTGCAGCTCCCCACCTGGCCCTTCTCTTACCCACACACAGAGCTCAGGACCTGTCTTCCTCCTCCTCCTGCTGGCTCCCCATAAGTTCACAAGAGGCAAGCACTCCCTGCCCTCCCTACCCCTACCCCATTCCCCAGTAATTTCACCATCTAGAAGCACCACTGCCCAATTTGGAACCCAGGGACTCTATAGCCACTGAAGCAAGGAAGGAAGCAGTCCTGACAGTGACCTGCAGGCTGGCCAGGCAATGGTGAAAGACACTGCCTGTCCTGGAGGGAGGAGAGGCCAGGGAGGGACGCAGGGAAGGGGCACGGGCAGGGAGAGCCGGCCACCAGGAGTCATCAGACATTATTTTATTTTATTTTGTGCTGTTCTTAGGGCTTGAACTCAGGATCTGGGCACTACCCCTGAGCTATTTTTTATTGTTATTATAAAAGAGATGTATAGAGGGGTTATAGTTACGTAAGTCAGGTAATGAGTACATTTCTTTTTGAGCTATTTTTTGCACAGAGTTAGCACTCTACCATTGGAGCCACAGCTCTATTTTCAGCTTTTTTTTTTTTTTTTGATAAGTCATTGGAGCTAAGAGTCTTATAGACTTTCCTGCCTAGGCTGGCTTCAAATTGTGATTCTCAGATCTCAGCTTTTTGAGTAGTTGGGAGTATCAGCAGAAATCACCAGCACTCAGCTATATCAGATATTCTTGATAAGTGCTGCCATTGAGTTAAGAGTACCCAACCTGCTGGAAATGGAGGCTCATCCCTCAGGACTCTCAGGGAAGGTAGAGGCCACAGGGGGATTCCAAGATGCTAGAGTGGGTGGGGGTGGGCATTGAACAGTACTGTTCATGGTCTTGGGTAGATACAGAGGGTACAGGAGAGGAAACTTGGTTTGTCCTGGAATAGGTTGTCTCTCTGGGACCCTGGTACCCTCTGTGACCAGTGGGACCCTGGGGATGGCTGAGGAAGCATAGAAGAGAAGAGGCAGAGAAGGTGCTGGAAGCCTGGGGGGGTTTCTAGACCTGACCCTGGAGGACAGGGAGCCTTGGGAGGAGATTTACAAAGTAGCCAGGCCCCTTCAATGTATCTTGAATACTGAATTGAGTGGAATAATCAAGTAGTGATTCAGGGCAGGAGGAGTGAGAAGAGACACACATGTACAGGAGTGCAGAGAAGAGATGCACAGAAGTGTATACGAGGAGCTCAGTTCATCAGATCAAACCCCAGGAGTGCCAGGTGCTCGGGGCTCACCCCTGTGATTCTAGCTATTCAGGAGGCTGAGATCTGAAGATCCAGGTTCAAAGTCAGCCCTGGCACAGAAGTCTGCAAGACACCTCTCTCCACATAACTAGTAAAAAAGCCAGAAAAGTGTGGCTCAAGTGGTAGAGCACTAGCCTTGAGCAACAAAGCCAAGGGAAAGCAAGAGTCCCTGAGTTCGAGTCCCCCTCCTGGCACATATAGTCACCCACACACCCACACACCTACACATGGAGCTTAGGAAGTTGAGGATGTCTCCTAGGAGTTATCCCTAAGCCAGTGACAGATATTGTCTCTGGCTCCCTTTCCAAGATCTGAACCTCACTCAACAAGATCTGTCCTCATTGGACCTCAACCTGGCCCTGCCACTCACCATGCCTTCATCTCTTGGTGACCTCAAACCTGAAGGGTCATTGGGGGAGTGGTCCCTTTGGGATGCTCCTCAGGGTAAACAGATACATGCTATTTATTTTCAGACCAAGGGAGAACTCCCCAGCCTGGACCCCACGATATAGGATATTCCTCATTGGCTCTTTCTTCTGGGACATGTCCAGCTTCATCTTCTCTCCTGTCACCAGCACCACCACCAGCACCACCAGCACCACAGGATTATTCCATGAGCCTTCAGGCTCTGCAAGTGGTCTCATTGCCCATGCTACTCTGGATTCACAACCACAGCCCCATGTTCCCCTTCCCATACCTTAAAACCCCTCCCTGCAGCATGGTCTACACCCACTTTTCAGCTCAGAAGTCACGTCCAGCCTGGAGCGTGTATCCTCAGGCCCTCCTCTTTCTGGCAGTTGCCTGTCCTCAAATGCTGTATGCTGGGAATTGTCTAGGCAATGACAGCGATGACAATAGCAATGGCTCCAGGGAACACATCAGCTGTTTCTGAGCCAAGCTTCTTGGCCAGCCTGTGTGCCTAGGCTGGGCATTTTACTGGCCAGCTGAACACAGTCCTACCTGTACACAGAACACACACACTCATCTCTGGCTTATTTCCCCACACAGGCATGCCTATACTGCTAGACACCTCCCCTCCCGCACCAGGTACTTATTTATTTACATGCACACAGAACACATGATGCACGTTCTGTCCTGTGGTTTATTTTGCATGAGTGGTCTATATTCCTCCTGGATTATGCCTCTAATAAGGGCAAAGGAAAAAATAAAAGGCAAAGAAGTTCTCCTCTGACACCTTTGCTGTCTACCTGTTGATGCTGTGATGGGAAAGAGAACAGAGCCTGGCCGTGGTGCCTTCTGCTTTTTTGCATTTTCTTGCTTGCTCCCTGCTCTCAGTGAGAGCCTCTGGGTCACTTCTGAAGACCCGTCTCAAACGGCAGCTGGGAAAAATAGAGGAGAGACAAAGACCAGGCATAGCCCCATCATACTCCTCAAGGATATTCTGAGCCCTGCCCAGCCCGTGGGTACCAGCTGCTCTCTGGCTTCACATCTCCCAGGGGAGGCAGATGGAGGGAGGCTGGCTTTCCCCTTTAAGAGCATTGTCCCTGCTGCTCCTCCCTTCCCCCAGAGGCCACATCAGCCAGGCAAGAGCCAGAGTCCAGAGAAAGAGCCTGCAAGTACAGCCTTGCCTGGGTTCCCCAAGAAAGGTGTTTCCCCCCTCCCTCGTCCCTTCCTCCCGCAGCCTTTTCCTTTCCCACACTGTTTATCTCCTGCTTCTGAGGCCGTACCAGCCAGGCAGGACAGACACTCCTACTAAGACAAGGCTAGACTTATGGATGAGGGCGTGGGGCCCATAGGGGCAGTGACTGGTATGGATGCTGGCTTTCTGGGCCAGGCCAGATGGGGTTCTGGGTACAGGGGAGAAGGGTTGCTGAAGATGGGGAGGGAAGAGCACAGTTCCCTCCCTGGCTTCTTTGACTTGCTATTTTTGTGACTTTGGATAAATCACCAAATAGTCTTGTAACATGCACATTTGTAGCACATACCCTGCATGTGCCAGACCCTGGGTATTAGGCTGGAGTCCTGGCACATTAGAAATTACTCACACCCAGGCCTGCATCTAGTCCTCAGGGTCCAGCCCAACTTCAGGCCAGCTCTCTGAGAGAGCGAGCAAGTAGCCAACTCAATCTGATCCTATTTTCCAAGCCTCAGTTTCCACAGCTAAAAACCAGAGTGGGGGGCTGGGAAGGTAGCTCAGTGGTAGAGCGCTTGCCTTGCATGCATGAGGCCCTGGGTTCGATTCCTCAGCACCACATAAACAGAAAAAGCCGGAAGTGGTGCTGTGGCTCAAGTTGTAAGAGTGCTAGCCTGGAGCTGAAGAGCTGAGGGGCAGCGCCCAGGCCCTGAGTTCAGGCCACACAACCAGCAAAAAAAAAAAGCAAAAAAAAACAAACAGAGTGGGCTTGAATCTGTCTCTAGATCACATGGAGCCTGAGATCGCTCTTGGAGGAGGGTTTCTAGGGTCACTCTGACCAAAGACCACACTGACAGGAGTCTCATGGGGCCAGGGTCCCCAGTGGAACACACTGTCTCTGGGGTATGGATTGAACATGCTATGCATGCTTCTCCTCCCTGCCCCTCTGGCATTGTGTTCCAACAGCTGAGCAAATGGCACTTCTTCCCTCCTCCCTGCCCCCTGCCATTCCTGCGCAAAGGGCACGGGGCCTGGCGTGCAGTGCTGGCAGCTGGAGATTTCCATGCTACTGTCAAGTTTTCCAGGGCACAAATGAGACAGGAGAGCCAGGAATAACCAACTGGGCCCCAGAGGGTCTAGAGGGATGGGCCTGCCTTAAACCTGCTGTCAGACCCTGTGCCAAGGTGGACAGGCAGAGGCCCCGGTGCACCCCACCCCCACCCCCAGCCAGGGCTTTAGGAGATGCCTGCAGCCACTGAGAGCCCATTGTCTGTCATGAATCCTATTGGAACAAGCCCAGGTTCCATTCAGTAGGCCCTCGTCCATTCCCTGTGTGACCTTGGGGAAGTTATTTAACCTCTCTGAACTCCGGTCTTCCAAAGTAGCAGTTCTTGGGACCCCAGGGACAGTGGCATGAAGGGCACCATTCTGAACTTGACGATGCCCAGTTATTATGCTATTATATGATCATTTTTATGACTGGACAAGCCCAAAGCCAATCACTGGCCTTCTGAGTTAAATCTTTTCCCAGACTTGCTGAGAGCTGAACTCAGCCCTAGGCACCCCCAGGGCCTCACACTCGGTAAGGCATCATCTCAGGGTCCCTGAGAGACAAAATCCCTGCCTAAGGGAGCCCAATCTACAGCCTCCTGGCCTGGAGGTGGGTCTGCTGAAGCAGAGCAAGGGTGTATGGGTTCTGTAGAGGGCAGAAGGCAGGCAAGTGCTCCCTTCCTGCCCCCAAGAGGGGGGGTTGTTTCTGGGTGCCCCTCCCCAGGGGCTATATTAGCTTGGTGAGTCATGGTGGACGGCTGGGAGGCCGCAGGCGGGCGGGCCTAGTGTAGGGTTACAGTCCATTTATGGGCTCAGCAAGGCAGATATCAGTGTCGATGGCATTCACTCCCAGCTATTCTTAGGAGCCTCCCAGGAGCTCCACACAGCTAGGCCAGGCAGTAAGGGACACAGCAGGCAAGACTGGGGGTCCAGGGTCGGGGATCGGGAGCTGAGGCGCAGGCTGGGGAGGCGGGGTGCGCTCGTGCTCTCTCACCTGACTTTTCCCTTTCTCCACACAGGTGACCTCTGTCAACACCAGCATGTCTTACAGTGTGACCCTGACCGGGCCTGGGCCCTGGGGCTTCCGCCTGCAAGGGGGCAAGGATTTCAATATGCCCCTTACTATCTCCCGGGTGAGTGTGCCCTGCCATACAGCCCAGCTCCCGAAGGGGCAGGGCACTCTTGGAAGAGGGCATGTGTATGTCTGTGTCCCATGTCTGTCTGTCTGTCCTTACCAGGGCAAACCGGAGCATGATCCGTCCCATCTGAGGACTGATCTGGTTTTCTGGTCTTGGCCACAGCCAGGGCTGGCTCACTCAAGCTTGTACCCCCTTGAGTTTGCCCACCTGAGTGAGACGTGATGGGCAAATGGCAGGTGTTTTGAGCAGAGAAGGAAATGCTGAGTTTGCAGGGTGGAAGAAAGTACAACGCTTTCTTTCTGGCAAGGTGGGCTCAGGTTGCCTCCAAGCCTTGAAGCAAGCAGAGGTTTTGGGAAAAGACTGCTCCTAAGAAGGGAAGGATGGGTGACAAGTAAGCAGATGCATGGGTGGACAGATTGCTGCCTCTGCTATCATGATGTGGATTGGGGTTGAACTGGTTACTGGGTTCTAGTACTTGTTCTATCCTAGATCCAAAATACCAAGCCTGGGTTATGAGTTTCTCCTCATAACCCAGGTCTTCCAGGGTCTTCCAGGAGCTCCCTTACTGTCTGGCTCACAGAGCTGGACCTCCCTCCTTACCTGAAGCAGGGGCCTGCCTGTCCTGCCTGACAGTGTCATGTCTTTTCTCTCCATGCTTACCTGAGGAAATGAGGTCCTCTATTGCCAGGCTGGAGACCCCAAAGCCCAGGGAAGCCAAGAGTAGACATGCTTGAGAAGCAGAAAGGAAGGACTTTATCTTAACTACGGCACATTCTCAGCATATAGGTCACAACTAGAACACAGCAGGTACAGTCACGGTCTGTCATAGAAAGGTACTGTCCAGCAGTCCTGGCAGAGCTGGGGCTGGAAACCGCATGTCTCAGAGAGACTGTGAGGCTTTCAAGGGGCAAAGACAACATGGGTCGGGTGGCTGAAAACCTGCTGGTATTTCCCTGGGCCTGGGGACAGGGTGAAGCCTCAGGCTGTCACTAGAGGATCATGGTTAGACAGGAGAGTCTCCTGGGTGGCTTTCTCGCTAAGGAGAAAGGACAATTTCTTCTCCAGGGCAATAGAGACTTGCCTTGGGCCTAGGACTAGCACTTGGTGAGTAGTCCAAATGGTGGTAGGCAGAGGGCAGAGGGTCTCACTGGAAAGACAGCTTGGTTGTTGAACCTGGCTTGGGCACTAGGAGTAGTCCTTGGCCTTCACTCATCAGCTGGAGGTGTGAAGGCTCCACCTTTCAGATCTCCTACCCCGAAGACTACAGGGTCCCATACTGAAAGGATCATATTGGTGGTATGATGAAAGCTTCATAATGTGGTAACAAATGCCTATGAGTATTTAAGCCCAGTGGCTACCCCAACTCCATCTCTTTGTACAAGGCAGAACTGCTGTCATAACCCTTCTAGCATCCTATATCTAGAGCTGAAGCCCTACCTCCCCCAGCCCCACCATTCTTGAGACAAGCTGCTGGTATTCTCTGCCCCATCCTGTAGACACCAACTCGTCTTCAGGCTCAGTGACACCCAGGATAGCCAATGACCTCACCCAGGACCTATGCAGCACCTGGCCCTGGATGGCCAGGGGCTTAAATGGCAGTACAGAATAAGCTAGACAGCAGGAGGAATGTACTCACTTGGGGAGGGGGTATGTTGGGATGTACTGGAGCCACTGACAAGCGGGGATTAAAAAAAAAAGAATCCAGGCAGAGCACCGGATGGAGGATGGGCATGGTGAGCTTTTAGCTTCCTTCTGAGACACACCTTGAATCACCTGGAGAGGGAGGATTAGACGCTGGAGCCCTCCTCAACACTGGAGGTCCCTTGAGAAATGCCTCTGGCCGTGCTTATGGCCAAGCTGATCTCATGGGCACCAGGGCTGTGATATTTCTGGCTGAGGCTCACAAGGACCCTCTATTACCAAGAACAAGCCCTCAAAGGGATGTAGGACCAGAATTTTCTGGAAGAGACCTATTCTACCTCAGATACAACCCACGTCTCCTAATGGTCAGTAGACATCACTTGGAGTCCTAGCTTAAGCCTTTGCTGTGGAGACACCACAGGCATTGGGCAGTGGGGCATGTGGGAACTAGCTAGGCAGAGCCTGCTTATATCTCCAGCAGGTACCCACAGTACTGGGGCACATTCACTGCCTGACCACTGAGGGGGAGGGGTCACCGTCTCACCTCACAACCAGGCAGAACTGCAGGTTACACTTATTTATTTATTTAATTATTTTCTAATAGTGCTAGGGCTTGAATTTTCTGGCCTCCCACTTTGGCTTAGCTTTTTTTTTCCCCCTAGACCTGGGCTTGAACTCAGCTGGGAACTGTCCCTGAGCTTCTACCACTTGAGCCACAGCACCACTTCTGGCTTTTCTGTTTGTGTGGTACTGAAGAATCTAACCCAGGGCTTTATGCATGCTAGACAAGCACTCTACCATTAAGCCACATTCCCAGCCATATTTATTTATTTATTTTATTTTATTTTTGCCAGTCCTGGGGCTTGAACTTAGGGCCTGGGGCACTGTCCTGAGCTTCTTTTGCTGAAGGCTAGCACTCTGCTGCTTGAGCCACAGTGCCACTTCCAGCTTTTTCTGTTTATGTGGTACTGAGGAATTGAACCCAGGATTCATGCATGATAGGCAAGCACTCTACCACTAAGCCACATTCCCAGCCCTTGCTTAGCTTTTTTGCTCTATCACTTGAGCCATTGCTCTACTTTGACTTTTTTTTTTGGCTGGTTAACTGGAGAGTCTCATAGACTTTTCTCTCCAGGCTGATATGATCCTCATATCTCAGCCTCTTGAGTAGCTGGAATTACAGATGTGAATCACACGTGCCCAACTTGAGACTTGCTTGCATTTATACATGGGGCAGAGGGGGGCCATGAGTGGAAATTCCTGTGATCTGCCTCCTCTTCTCTCTGACCAGTGACTGCCACCTGATGGCAGAGTGGCAGCCTGTACCTGAGTTATAATGGCCCCAAGCGTCAACCTCGGGCAGCCCCTGGGGGATCTCCCTTCAGCTGAGCTGATCCTCAGAAACTGCAGAGAAGTGATTCAGAAGGGAGACCCAGACAGTTCAGGGAAATGCCTTTATTTATCCTGGACAGGTGCAAAGGACCTGCAACCTGAGCTGCCCTCTCACCCTGCCCCCCTCTGCTCCCGGAAGCAAGGAAGAGTGAGAACAGGCTCCTTCCCCCCACCCAGGGAGCAGCTCTATGGGCCCTACCCCCACTTTGTCTGAGCCTCTGACCAGAGGTTGGTGCCAGGCATAAGGTTCATCCTCATTACTGTAACATCTCTACCATAGGAAGAGGGACATGCCTTCATTCAACTCTGCTATTCTGCCCAGTCTCAGTGCCTTACCTATAGGAGGGAGACGATGCCCTCTCCAGGTATGAGAGTGCAGGTGTGGAAAGATGCCTCATCTGGCTGGCTGGAGGTTAACAGAGCAATGGGGAGTGGCACTGAGCCAGGCCCAGGCGGGGGCCTAGCCTGCAAGGTCTCAGGCCCCACCTGACAGATCTTGGGCCACCAGCCCAGAGGCCTCTAAACTCCCTGGTGGTTTCAGTTTCTGTATTTACCAAACTCTCTCCTAGCTAATGGGGACACTGAGAACAGAGGGTCCCTGGGGAGAGGAACCGGGTAGGCCGGGGACTATTCAGGGTGTGTGTGGGGGTGGGGTGGGGGTGGGAGTAGCCGTGCTGTCAATTCCTGGAATTTTGAGGCTACTGGAGCACGTTGTGGGGCTGTTCTTGGGCAGTGCCTATCGGTGCTGACAGGTCTTGCTGTTTATAGCAGCGTTGAAGGTCAGGCAAGCCTTAGAGGCTCCAAGCATCTGTCTATCCATCAGTGGAAGATAAGGGGGCAGTGACACAGTGGGGGGAATGCTCTTAGACATGCCTTCTCTGGGCCCTCCCAAGGCTCAAAGCTGCCTCTGACCCTTTTGAGGGTACTGAAAGAAGAGGACCAGAGTCTGTCCATTGAGGTCCATCAAGGTCCCAAAGGGTAAATCCTCACAAGGCAAGGGCAAACTGCACAAGTAGTCCCTGGGCCACTTGAGGAAAAGAAATGATGGGCCTGGAGCTGATGGCTCACATCTGTAATCCTAGCTACTCAGAAGGCTGAGATCTGAGGATCGTTGTTCAAAGCCAGCCCGGGCAGAAAAGTCAGTGAGACTTATCTCCAGTTAACCAACAGAAAACCAGAAGTGGTGCTGTGACTCAGGTGGTAGAATGCTAGTCTTGAGCAAAAGAACTCAAGTACAGTGCCCAGGCTCTGAGCTCAAGCCCCACAACTGCCAAAACAAAGGAGGAGGAGGAGGAGGAGGAGGAGGAGGAG